CCCCCCATTAAAAATTATTGCCCACCTCTGATGCCCGGTGTCTCCCACTTTCCCCTGATTACAGTGAAGCTGTAAGAGGGGGATCACAAGGGTCTCATGTATCAAGCTCTAACATTGTCCTGTCGACAGAAGTGGCCTGAGGCGGGCTGCGGCAGCTGGCGCCGTAGGCAAAAGGTGCAATTGGCGCCCCCTCCTATGGCTGTCGATGGCCATGACATAATTTTGGGGTGCCCCGGCAACTGCCTAGTTTGCCTAGGTTCACAGGCCGCCCTTGCCTGTCAATGTAATATTGTTCCTGTTTTGCTGCTAGTGATGTGTCTGGGATTTTATTCACAAGAGAGTTGGAATCAGAAATGTGGGAGATGGGGACATTTTAGGATGTAGCATGCTGCACAAATTAATTTGGAGGTGCTTACCCCAAACACCCATCACTATCACACTTCCTACTAGGATGAGGATCCCAAAAGCACGACACTCATGCCTACATTTTTGTTAGTCCTCTTTTTTAAGTGGTGTACCCAGCAATGTTTTCGGTTTGATCTCACGATCCTTCAGTGGCTGGATTAACCAGACCTTTGTTCTTCTAAATCAGTGTTTCGCAACCCTTTTTTATAAAGTGCCCCTTTTTAAAAAAAAAAAAAAAAAAAAGTACCCCCGGTACCTACAGTTTTCAGACACACATTTTTTTTCTACCATTGCAACACATTTGTTTAAACAACTTAATCATCGCTGGGCAGGCGATGACATTTTTGGGTGTAAAAAGTACAAAAATTATAAAGCGCTGTAAAACTTAAAACAAAAATTCAGTTTTCTCCAAATTTCAGTTGTGTTGACATACCTCCAAGACATCTTTCGAGTACCCCTAAGGGTATGCCTACCACTGTTTGAAAAACACTGGAATAAATTACCTAGGGAGGTTGTGGAATCTCCATCTCTGGAGATATTTAAGATTAGGTTAGATAAATGTCTATCAGGGATGGTCTAGACAGTATTTGGTCCTGCCATGAGGGCAGGGGACTGGACTCGATGACCTCTCGAAGTCCCTTCTCATCCTAGGATTCGATGAAATCACCTGCCTGTCTTTTTTTAATGACAAACTCCCTGCCCCAGGCCAAGCTGCAAGCAGCTCAAACTCTGTTGCATTTAAGGCATTGCCTCTGGAGTCAGGGCATGCAGCGGTAGACAGATCTTAAGGATGAAGTCCAGGTGGTTCAAACTCGGGATGGGGGCTGCTGGTAAATGGTGTTCTTGTTTGACAACAACTTCCCTCGTGTAGCACAGTGAGAGAGTGTCCAACCCACATAGGAGTGGGAAAGCTGCAAGCAGCTCAAACTCTGTTGCATTTAAGGCATTGCCTCTGGAGTCAGGGCATGCAGCGGTAGACAGATCTTAAGGATGAAGTCCAGGTGGTTCAAACTCGGGATGGGGGCTGCTGGTAAATGGTGTTCTTGTTTGACAACAACTTCCCTCGTGTAGCACAGTGAGAGAGTGTCCAACCCACATAGGAGTGGGAGGCGTTAGTGGAGGCCAGATGGGCCAATGAACCTATTACATTGAATGCTCTGAGGAAAGCCATGGTTAGAGGGACAAGCTGGCCTGTGTAGGAACAGGTGGGATCTGTATAAATTGAGGTACCTGGCTAGGAAGAGGGGAGCTGTTGTCAGGAAAGACTGTAGAGAAGGAGGCTGCAGTTGCACCCTGGTTAGAGGGAGTTGGAGGCTAGTAAACCTGGAGGGAAAGGAAAGCCAGCTCTGTAGGAAGAAGCCCAGGGACAGAGCAGCAAAAGGTAGAAGGGTACAGAGACTCTGAGATCCTGGGGCTGGAACCCATCTCAGTAGAGGATAGACCTGGGTTGCTCTATAGTGGAAGGGTTTTGGAGATGCCAGCCAGCAGGTCTAAGAAGACTTTGCATTCCCAGGAAGGGGAGGATCGTGGTGGCCTGGCCAGAGGGACATGTCATGAAGAGGAGACTAGTCCTGGGAGCGAGAGGGGCTGCAGAGGAGACAGAACAGGAGAAGAGACACCACAGTGCGAGTGCAAACCGGGTAGAAGCAATTCCCAGGATGGCCAGCAGGAGGAGCAGATAGCAGGGAGCAGACATTCAGTGGCGAACTAGACTGAAATACTGTAAAGCTGATGAAGTGTTAGCATCCTAGCACTACAAGGGCAGCTGGCAGCGACCCCCAGGTTTAATTTCCCTAATGCTTCCATTGCAAACTGGACTTGCGGTATCTTTAAGAAGCTTTTACGTTTCCATTTTTCAAAGCAGGCTTTTGAACTAGGAGGTAAGGGAAGCCCTCGGGCTGGAGAAACCGGTTTGCTTTACCCCAGGAAATGTCATGCAGGATTTGCTGAGACGTGAACTCTGGAGGAGTCGCCATTTTCCCGTCTGGCTTCAGATGCTCAGGAAGACTCTGACAAAATAATATGAAAAGTCAGAAGTGCCGGGCTCACCTTGCCGCAGTCGCACACCCTGCCTAGGAGTGACCAGAGCAGACGGAGACGGGGAAGCGGGGTGGAGATTTGGGCCAGGCTCCCTCTCACCCAGCACCTGACCCCAGTGTTCTATCAACACTTGTTCCTGGGGCCACATGGCACAGAATTTCCTCCTGAACAGGAAGAGAAGAGAGAGCCCATGTTCCCCCTCCGCACCTAGGCCCGTTCCTTGCTTCCTCTCCTCACAATAACTCTCCATGTCACCCACTCGCCGTGAGTGGTAGCAGCGGGGCGTGGTGCTGAGCCAGGTCCAAACCCTGCTGCTGGTTCAGGATGCAGCACTTGTTCCCACTGCATGTAACAGATATGGAAATGATTTTGAATGTGAATATGCAAAACTTGAAAATGCTTTATGCAAAATGGGGCAAGTGACCTTTCATTCAGGAGCCTGTGATCCCCTGAGTGTGTGTACTCTATTTGTGTGTGTATCATTCTTGCATGTGAAGTTAGAAAGATGAAATACAAACCTGCTTATTAATGTAGGTCTTCTAATGAGACCATTGGTGGTACATAAGGAACTTAATGGCCCAGTGCTCAAGGCAATGGTTTTATTTTTCCTGTAAACCCAAACTGTGGTTGGTTCTGTGAAGACCAGTGACTATACCATCTGCTGCTGGGATCCATCTTGAATGTGGTCCTCTTTGGGAGGGCGGGGGAGAGAATGGAACAAAGAGTTCCCATACTGGGGAAATTCTATGTCAGCAATGGGAAGCAATCAATAATGGTTGTCAGCTGGCTTTTGGAACTGCCTCCCCACTCCAAGAGGAAACACAAGAACATCTGGAAAAGAAAAGAACTGTAATCACACAGGTGGAGGGTGTTGCTAGACCCAGGTTAAAGAAAAAGTTCAGCTCTGGCTTGTGAAAAATTACTTCTGAAATAAGCACTAGGGTGAGAAACAAGATTTGTAAAAACTTTTCTTAGGCCTGGTCTACACCACAGCAGAAAGTCAAATTAAGAAATGCAGCTTCAGCTATGTGAATTACGTAGCTGAAGTCGGCTATCTTAAATCACATTTCAGTTCTGTCTGCACAGCAGGAGGCCAACAGGAGGGAGCAAATGCTCTTATCAGCTTCCCAAAAGGAAGAATATTGGATGCCGCCTAGAGATGCCCTCAGCGTTTGATTTACAGATTTATACTAGACCCACCAAATCAAATGCCATAAAATCAATCTCTGAAGCATCGATCTTCTGCGTAGCTCCAGTGTATTAAGCTTAGCTGGCATGTTTTGTTTTATTTTTGCTTAATAACTTACTTTGATCTGTCTGTTTTTACTTGCGACTAGTTAAACCCTACTTTTTGAACTTAATAAAAACAATTATCAAACTCAGTCTTAATTATCAAACTCAGTCTAAATAATTGTTATCGAGGAGGGGAGGCAACAGCTGTGAATCTCTCTCTTGCCTTGATAAAGAGAGCAAACTTGTGAGCTTTCTCTGTGTAACACTTTTATACTGAATAAGACTGTGCAGACTTAGCCTGGGTGACAATCTCAAAGTGACCCCTATGATCCATCCTTTCCCAGGGCCCACTGTCTAGTCTGCCCAGGGCCTAGAATTGCTGCCAGTAGACCTAGTGGAGGAGTAGGGAATTGAACCTAGCTCCCAGAGTCTCTGGCTAGCATCTTAACCACTAGATCCTCCTTCCCCGCTCAGTTCATTCTTCCTTGTCATTTACAGTCTTTCATTCAAATGAATTCCAAAGACGGGGTCTGGCTTGGACTCACCACTACATCCCCCACAAGGAATTGGACTTGGATGGACGGCTCCCTGTTAAATACAGCACTGTAAGTGGCTTTATCCCCTGGGCCCGTGTAAGATGCTCAGCAGAAGGTGCGGGGTTGTTGCTTTTCAGCACTGGTGAGAGCAGAGGCTACGTACAGGCAAGAGGAATGTCAATGTCAATGTTTCATTCCACGGCTTCCATCAGCAGTCGTATTAATCCTGCAGGCTGGGTTTGGTAATATAGAGAGAACAAGAAGCAATGGGCTTAAACTGCAGCAAGGGAGGTTTAGGTTGGACATTAGGAAAAAGTTCCTAACTGTCAGGGTAGTGAAACACTGAAATAAATTGCCCAGGGAGGTTGTAGAATCCCCATCAGTTTGAGCTGTGACCCCTCAACCCTGTCTCATCAGAATACGAAACCTAGTCGCGCAAACAAAATCAGATGAAAAGTATCTTGGCATTTTCTCTGCGTTAGAAGAGGGTGACAGTTATCAACACTTCACAAAAGCTTCCGTGGTCTGCATTGCCCAAGTGTCACTTGTTAACCACCAAAGCCGATTCCTTGTTTCCTGCCTGCCTGAGCAAAGCAAACAAACCCGCTCTCTGCCTTGCAAACTACTCCGGACATGCAAGCCGAAGACTCGTTCCCCAGCCTCGTGATTTTGTTTAATAATTGGACAGGAAACGTGGTATTTTAATCATAACAATGGGGGTCATTTCCAGGCAGCCTGGAGGACGTGGTCCTGATAGGCTTGAAGACATGAGTGACTGCTGATGAGGCAAAGGAAGGCACAGCCTTCCCAAAACTGCCTACACGCCCCACTGCTGAAGCCTGGGGCTGCTGCTGAGGAAGGCATTGAAGTGCCAGCCTTCCAGGTAGGGGCTGCCCCACCCCCAGCACGACAGGTCTGGCCCTCCAGGTAGCCGGAAAAGATCTGGCTGAGGGTGGGTGGGGCTTGGCTCCAGGGGCGGGGCTTGCCTTCCCCAGCTGTGTTCAGTTGTGCAGCTGGAAGGCTTTGGGTGGGCCAGGGAATCCAACATGGCTAGGGGAGGACAATGAAACCAAGCAGTTACTTCTGTGCAGAAGCAACAGGTGAAGAGAGGTGGTTGGGAGCAGGGGGAGAAGGGGGACAATGCTCCTCCACTCCAGGCCCCAACCCTCCCCAGTTGGGGGTGATGGTGTTAGTGTCTCAAATAAAAGTCACACAATCTTTTATGATGCAAAAATGTTATATGAAGATGGTTAAAAAAGAAAAATAACTTCATGTGATTTTCCTTCTGCAGCTCAAAAGGAAACAATTTCTATTTCTTAAAAATATTTCATAGTATTTTTAAATCAAATTTTTATCACCCTCCCCATATCGTCTCCCCTCCCCCTTTTTGCCTTTTTGTCTTCATTACCAAGAAGATCGACGCTGCAGCAGTTGATCTTCCGGAGTTTGATTTAGCGGGTCTAGTAAAGACCTGCTAAATCGAATGCTGAGGGCACCCCTGTTGATGCCGGTGGTACTCAATTCACAAGGAATAAGGGAAGGTTTGTTCCTCTCAACCTCCTGCCGTGGAGATGGCGCCGAAGGTCAAATTCAGCTATGTCAACTCCAGCCTTGCAATTAACATAGCGGAAGGTGCATATTGTAATTTTGCCTCTAGGTAAGTATAGACAAGGCCTTAGTGCAGGGGAGGGCAAAAGTCTCTCAGAGGGCTGGATCCGGCCTGCCTAGGGCTTTGATCCAGCCCGCGAGGCAGTTCCGGGCCCCACCTCTTAGCGTGTTGCCTTGGCGCAGGAGAAGGGCACGAGCCCTTTAAACTGCTTCTATTTAAAGGGCTCGTGCCTTCCCCATGCCTTGTCTAGCAGCTGTGGAGAAGGCGCAAGCCCTTTAAATAGAAGCAGTTGAAAGGGCTCACGTCTCTGACTCCCTAAAGGCACGGGAAGCTGCGGGCCCTTTTAAGTACTTCTATTTAAGGGGCTGGCACCTTCCCTGTGCTTGTCAGGCAGCGTTGCCTAGCAGTCACGGGGAACACGAGAACCCTTTAACTAGAAACAGCTGAAAGGACTCACAGTTCCCCTCGCTAGTGCTCCTGGTCCCTTCTATTGGCCAGATGTCAAGAGGCAGGGACCCCAGACCAAGCAAAGTTCCCGGTAGGAAGTTCTCAACCCCGCCCCTTCTACCTGAGGCCCCGCCCCTTCCGGGGCAGCCAGCAGCCACTTCCAGAATTTGTGAAGTGCCCCCCCCCGTTCAAAAATTATTGCCCACCCCTGCCTTGGTGTAACAAAATCCCCTGCCCATCCCTATTCAGCAAAGCGTCTGACTGTATTGAAAACCATGTGTACTCAAGTCTATAAGACTGCGAATCAAGCGAAGTACGTACGTCTGTGCTTTGTAGGATGGAGGCCTAGACTTTCCAAATGTTTTTCTTTGAAAAGAAAATCCTCTGCACCATTGTGCCTCTCCTGGATCCTGGGGCAACTTTCTAGTAAGTCACTGAAGCCCTTGCCTGAAATGCACCATGAATGCACGTGCATTTAAAGGATTTAAAGAGAGATTAATGAGACTAAGGCTCTGTCTAGATTACTCTGAAGTTCCAGAAGAGGATATGCAAATTCTGTGGGAATTTGCATATCTTCTTCCAATCTCACTTTCGAAAGCAGAGCTTTCGAAAGTTGGCAACCCGCTCCCTTTGTCAAAAAGCCACTCTTCCTCAAAAAATGAGGCTTATGCGGCTTTTTGAAAAAGGGGGGGTTTGCCAAAAAAGCCCTGAGATTGGAAGAAGATATGCAAATTCCTGTGGGATTAAAAAGACTGGGACTTTTCCGCTTAGAAAAGAGGAGACTAAGAGGGGATAGGATAGAGGTCTATAAAATGCGGAGAAAGTGAATACAAAACATTATTTACTTGTTCCTATAATATAAGAACTAGTGGCCACCAAATGAAATTAATTGGCAGCAGGTTTAAAACAAATAAAAGGAAGTTCTTCACACAGTGCACAGTCAACCTGTGGAACTCCTTGCCTGAGGAGGCTGTGGAATCTAGGACTAGGGTTTTAAAAAGAGCTAGATAAATTCATGGAGGTTAGGTCTATTAATGGCTATTAGCTAGGATGGGTAAGGAATGGTGTCCCTAACCTCTTTTGTCAGAAGGTGGAGATGGATGGCAGGAGAGAGATCGCTTGATCATTACCTGTTCGGTTCACTCCCTCTAGGGCACCTAGCATTGGCCACTGTCGGCAGACAGGATACTGGACTGGATGAATCTTTGGTCTGACCCAGTCTGGCCATTTTTATGTTCTTATGATCATAAATGCAATAGAGGCCCAGCTGTGGTATTTACAAGTATCTTACCTGGTGCTTCTAGAGAGCAAGCTAAGCAGCAGACTTTACGCTCTTGCTCCACCCTGGAAAAGCACAGGAGAAGAGAACCTAAATCCAAAGGAGGATCACGTTTCTCCTGCATGTAGTGTTGGGAGAAAAGGTTAAAGGGTTTGGAGCCCATCTCAAACTCATTCCTACCAAAGCATTTCTACCGATTGCAAATTGCTACAAGTTTTCTGCAAAACAAATATAAAATGTTCCAGGACTGAAACAGCCTGTAGTCTTTGTCATTACATCTGGCAGGCCACATTAGCAGAGCTGGCTTCAGCAGTAACTAGCAAGCTCGCTGGCCTATTTCACCTTCATTGAGGCGAGAATCGCGCTTATTCCGTGTTAGAGAAAAAAACACACATCAGCGACACGGAGGCATTGTGCTTTTGCACCTTTGGTCATGTGTTCAGAGCGGCTCTCTTTGTGGAAAAAGATGAAGTGTGTGTCTGTGAGCAGCATTGGAAAGAACACACGTTCTGGGCCTTTGATGGCACCAGAACAATGAGCTTTTAAACCGCACAGGAAAAAAAATACCGACCCTTCTACCCCCACATTCAGCCAGTCACTGGCGAGAGAGGAACTATCTGAAGTCTCTGCGGCCAATGCTTTTCAGTAGGGTGGTTCAGCAAACTTACAAATACCTTTGTAGGAAACACCTACAGACACAAAGTCCTTTTTCTCTGCTCTTTCATCTTCCTGAGACACGTGGGGCGAAGAGAGCACATTTGGGGGACACTACGGGAATGCACATCAATAGAGATGGCCCAATGCCAGCGTTGTGGTCCCTGGGAATACTCAAGATGACTTTTTTTTTGCTAGGCAATAACATGCAACAATTCCTCCCAAAATTCTGTTCTTTATTTTCAGAAATGCACAAATATTTGTAATGAAATTTGTTTAAATATGTTCACCAGCCACCTCCCCACTTCTCCTTTTGGCCTCCTGGCCACTCCACATGCTCCATGCCATTTCCAGAATTACACATTTAAAAATTTCATGGAGCATGAGGCAGAGGCCTGGAATGTACCAGGAGTCAGAAGCAATTCTCTCTAACGTTGGCTTTAAAAATTGTGAAAAAACCAACAAATGGTCTGGTAGCCCTTTATTGACTGACAAAACATGGAGATGAGATCATGAGTTTTCATGGGCACAGCCCACTTCTTCAGATGACTCCAGTCATCTGAAGAAGTGGTCTGTGCCCATGAAAGTTCATGATACCATCTACATGTTTTGTTAGTCATGTAAATGATTAATTCCTCCAGGATGTGCCAACCCATTGGTTAGCACGTTGTAGGTAAAATTCGTCTCTGTGCAGTGACTATGGGAACGTGGCATCTTACTGTGGGCACAAAGTTAGCACCATGACTCCTTTTTTTGACACAGGGCCCTCTCCTCACCTCCCACTGATATCCAGAAGAATCGAGCTTGTGCCATGCATCTTGCAGGTTTTTGTTCTAATACAGAAGCGATGGTCTTTCCCGCCCTCGAATAGTTCACTCAGCCCAAGAATCACGAATGCCCAGTTTCAGATGGGGCAGAGCTAAGGGGAAAGGTCTGTATCTGGCTTGCCCCTGTGGAAAATTCAGGAATTAACCATGTCTTGGAAGTTTATTTTTCAAACTATTTTCCCGTTTTTGTGCAGTCATAAGAATGTCTTGCCATGTTAAGTGCAGCTCTGACAAACACCTAGAAACACTATTGATTAAAATCTCATTTGAAACCCTACAGTGCAGACCAAACCCACTGTATTTTGGATTGGCAGTAGAATCACACCAGTTAGCCAGCTGAGACATACTCACTCATTACCTGTATTGCAAGGATTTCTTTGGTATGTTACCAGGGTAAGGAGTCACATTGCTGATAGGTGGCACTTCCTGATTTTGGAGGTGTCTGTCATCCTGCTAAGACCTACCTGCGAGGCTGCTCTTAGACACAGTTTCGCTTCTGTACGCTGACACCTTCTACTGCCTTAGTCATGGCTGGAGATGTAGTTTATGCTGATTTAAACATAGCTGGAGCCTCTTCAAGACCACCACATCCATCACAGCACCTCAGTAAGTGGACTTTATTTATTGATTTTAACGCTCTCTGTCTTTCAAGGGGCTCCTATTTTTCATCTGATTTTTTTCCTTCCAGATCATTTAGAGAGAGTCAGTAGAAACAAAAAGCTGATCTCTCCTTTATGTACCATATGAGTGGCATGATTTGGTTAATGTGAAGCCCTTTACCAAAGTCAGAACTTGTATGTAACTCTCGCAAATGCAATAGAGTGTATTTTATTTCCATTTTGTCAATATGTGTTACCGAAAACTTCACAGCCAGAGACAATCTGTATACAGACAGATTCAAGGGCAGGACAATGCTGTCTTATATTGCACGTCCTTTACATGCATTTGAGGGATACAAGTAAAGTAATTAAGCTAACGCACTGACTTGCCCACTGTAGTATGTAAAGAACCATGCATTGGATGAGTCTGCGGGAAAATGACTGAACATAGGGAGTCTGAAATAAGTAGGAGGATTTTGTTGTTTTATTGAAGACATTTAACATAGTTTAGGGAGAAGAGATGGGATCTGAAAAAGGACCCAGTTTGTCACTATGGACCCAGTTTGATGTGGAAGGTTCTAGAGGATAGCCCATAAGCTGGAGGGAATAAAAAGAAGGGGCTAATAGGTTTTAAGCACAGGCAACTAGAGAGGCAGAGGTTTTAGGAAATGGGGCTAAAGAAACGACTGAGAATTGAGGTCGAGGAGGACAACCCGGGAAAATGTGTAGTGGACAGGAGGTCACTGGAGGTTTCCAAGGACAGGGTGATGTCATGGAGAAAGCACTGTCATGCCAGTCAGCCGCGGTGTAATAACTGGTGAGTTAGGGGAGATCAACAGAGGAGTAGTCGGGGACTAATGGGGGAGAAGGAGCCGTAAGTTAAACCACACATCACTGTAAACTGTAACTCCTAGCATACCTTTTTGAACACATTGTTTAGAAACTGCAAACATTGAACCCCTAGTATTTTGGAGAACTACAATAAAAACAGTGGAAGGATAGTTATTTCATATCTTCAGAGAGTGTTTTCTGTAAGAACAGCCGGAGGGAATTGATCTACATGAGTAACTATATTTAGCTGGAGCTCTGAGCCTTCATATTTTTCTCTGCATTGATATTTAATTTGCTAAATAAACAACATCCCAAGCTACTTATGTGTCATGTATATAAAATTGTTCAACTATACATCCTCCTAAAGCAATTTTTTTATCACTCTGGTTTCATCATGTTCTCTTCTGTAATCATACTTTAAAGAAATTATTTGGTATTTACACATATACCGTATTGATAAATTATTTCCTTTTTCCACACATGCCTACTAAAATAATTAAATTATGATACAAGGACTGAAAATGATTCATTCTAAATACCCCTTTCAATGTGTATTGATAGTTTATATTTTCATGACATTTTTTGTTTTAGCATAAGACCCTTTGTATTTAGCTGTCCAAGCCGTAAGCTTTTATAAAACTATACCAGTGTGCACCGGGCATTACTTTCATATGGGATCAGTGTTCCCTGCAAGCTGTGTGTTTGTGTGGCCACTCAAGAGAGATTCAAATGCTGTCCAGCTGATTAACAGATCACCAGTAGCTATGTGTTTTGTTTCTACTGGTGGTGCACATCCACACATAACTTGGCGCACACAAAATTATTCTGTACATAGATGGGAAAGATTAGAGGGATCATTGCAAAGGAATAGTCTTCTCTTGAAAAATACGGTACAAGCCAGATTCTGTTCTTGAGTAACATTAGAAGTCACTGGAGTTACTCTCATCTTACATCAGTGTCACTAAAAGTTGAATTTGCCCCTTAAATGGTTCAGTTGTTTCTTAGCTAAAATTATGCTATGTTGAGAACTGACTGTGTAAATAACGTGGAAGTTACTTTTTGTAATGTTAGAACTACTTTACAAACATGACTGAGCAGAGATCTTACTATAATGAGTAGTCCCGTTGGTTTTATTCCCTAAACTGGAAATAAAAAAACGCTTTCCTTGGAAACATAACAGTAACATTAAATAGTAAGTCGAAAGAAGAGTTTTCAGTGTAACCCTGAGCTGGAATTCCACTGCATCTAAATTTCTAACAACAAAACAATAATGATCCTTTTTCACCTGAAATGTGTGTTTGTCTGAGGCTAGAGTAGAATGTTCTTAGAAAGTGTGAAGTAAATTTAACAGCCATTTTCTTTTTTTAATGATAAAAAAGGAGAGAGAGGGACAGTTTTTTACTTTTTGGAAAGGGTTTTCACCAATTTTTCCCCACTCATCACTTCTCAACAGAGTGCTGCGGAGAGAGTTGCCAGACTTGCAAGGTGGGAGGGGGCTCAGCTCTGAGCCACAGGAAAAGGAGATGCATTGTGTAGAAACCATTTCATATTTAGCTAGAAGCCATTCTGTATAACAAAAGCCATTTCAGTTTCTTGTGTCTGCACGTATACTAGAGGGAGAGAACTGGCCTTCACTGAGGTGGGGAGAGGCCAGAAGGATGCGCTGTTGGAAAGTGTTAATGAACTATTTTGAGCTGAAGCTCGAACTCACTCTAAACCTGTTTCTTTCTCTGCTGATAATAATTCCTCTTTGAAGTTCGCTTTGATTTCTTGCCCTGACGTCAGACTTGTTTGGTTAAGGGTATAAAATACTAGGATTAATTGTATTAGCCAGCCTTACTGGGCCCAACTTTGCTGGGTTTGGCTCACTTTGGTTTTATTGGCCAATAAAACTGTCTGTTTAGCCGCGTAAACTGAGTGAGGCTTTTGCTTCGACAATTGGGACCAAAGGATGGGGCTTGGAGCTAGCCTCTCCCACCCACTCCTTGAAGACTGTAGAATTCCAGCAGCAATTTAAAGGGCTTACTTAGGGCTCTGGCTGCTGCCACAGTAGCAGAGGCGAAGGCTGGGAGCCCTGGTTAGGGTTGCCAGGTGTCCGGTTTTTGCCCAGACAGTCCGGTAATTGCATCTTCTGTCCAGTAAAACGGACCAAAGGATGGGGCTTGGAGCTAGCCTCTCCCACCCACTCCTTGAAGACTGTAGAATTCCAGCAGCAATTTAAAGGGCTTACTTAGGGCTCTGGCTGCTGCCACAGTAGCAGAGGCGAAGGCTGGGAGCCCTGGTTAGGGTTGCCAGGTGTCCGGTTTTTGCCCAGACAGTCCGGTAATTGCATCTTCTGTCCAGTAAAACAAACAAACAAGCAAACAAACAAACAAACAAACAAAAAAACAGAAAATACCAGACATGTAAAATTTTTCCCCTGCTACATGTGGCAGGGGTGGGTGGAGCAGGGAGCATGGGAATTTAAAGACACGGCAACTTTTTTTTTTCCTCAGACAATTTTTTGCCCACCATGTTCTGGATTTTTTGTGAAAGTATCTGGCAACCCTAGCCCTGGGACTTTTTTAAATTGTAGGGCCCCAGGGGAGCTGCCCTCTGTGCCGATCCCTATCTGCGGCTCTGCCTGAACATTATTCTCTCAAATTAATAGTATTACGGCCATGATCCTGCCAACACTCATGTGCTCAACTGTACACATGTGAACAGTGTGTAAGGTAGAACATGTACCTCTGTGTTCACAGGATCATGCTTTTGAGCTCAATAATGTGTCTGCAGGTATTTGGGCTGCCATTTTTTGAAGTTATTCAGCTGGTACAACTCGATAAAAAGGAACTGACCCCACTTAAGGAAGGCATGCTGTGGACTGTGACCAAAATCAGATGCAAAAGGATCTTTTCTTTTTTAGAGGATAGAAGTTGGTTTCAGTCTTTTCCTGCATCTTAGGTTGGTTTATAGTCAAGAAGAAGCTTAGATAAGATACATGGTTATGTTTGCAAATCATTGTTTTGCTATGTTTTGTCTTAACTGAATAATATTTTTTAAAGAAAAAAGCGCTCGCAAAATCTGGCAGCAACAGGACTAGAATTGTAGAAATGCATATTCCCAAGAAGCAGGGCCATCCTTACCCATTCGCAAAATACACAGCAGGGTAGGGCACCCAAAAATTTGGGGCACCCCTGGACCTTGGTCTGATCCAGTATGGCCATTCTTATGGTAATTTGGGGCACCTCCAGACCTTGGTCTGACCCAGTCTGGCCATTCTTATGTTCTTACGGTAATTTGGGGCACCCCCGGACCTTGGTCTCACCCACTCTGGCCATTCTTACGGTCTTATAGTAATTTGGGGCACCCCTGGACTTTGGTCTGACCCAGTCTGGCCATTCTTATGGTTTTGGCAGAGATAAAAATCACAACTCTGGAGTTTCTGGGCCCAGCCATTTGGGAGGAACTGTGAGCCAATGATTTTTTTTCCCCAAAGCAACTTTTTCGTAAACTCTCAAAATACTTCTATACAGCCTCAGAGAAGAACAAGCCGCCTTGTTTCTTGTTCCTCACACTGGGTGCTGAAGGATTTTCACCAAACATTGACTCTTACAGATTTCCCTCAGTGCCCACTTTGGCATCGGATTGCTCTGGGAGTTGGATGGGCTGGGAACGTCATCCTGGCAGGAGCTGTGATCGTTCTGAGCATCTGGGGTGAGTAGTACTAGGTCTTATATGATTATTATCACTACATTGAGCATAAGAATGGCCACACTGGGTCAGACCAAACGCCCATCTAGCCCAGTGTCCTGTCTGCTGACAGTGGCCAATGCCAGGAGCCCCAGAGGGAACGAACAGAACAGGGAATCATCAAGTGATCCCTCCCATCGCCCGTTTCCAGCTGCTAACAAACACGCTAGGGACACCATTCCTACCCATCCTGGCTAATAGCCATAGATGGACCTAAACCTCCATTAATTTATTTAGCTCTTTTTTGAACCCTGTTAAAATCATGGCCTTCTCAACATCCTTTCGCAAGGAGTTCCACAGGCTGATTGTGTGAAGAAATACTTCCTTTTGTTTGTTTTAAACATGCACCTTGAATTAGCTTGTTTCTTCGCAACTGAATTCACCTTGAATTTGACTGTTTCTTCAGAATCCCACTTTCTGATTCCCATGTATTTGTGAATGAAATAGTTGACCCATTGGGCCATGCAAGTCAAAACTTCACATTAACTAGAGGTAGTTAAGAGCTTGGAATATAAAAACTGTGTGCTTGGACTCAAACAACTTCATCATTAATCATGCAGGGAAAAGTGGAATGAATATACATTACTAAGTGTAGTGAATGAGATTTCTGCTCTGTTCCACTCATCGATTTGGCAGACAGTACGGTATTTAATCGATTTTCTGTCCTCTAACTTTTTTTTCCCATAATCCCAAAGTAGTAACCAAAGGCTCCCGCCTGAAGGATTTCCGATCTCAGCTGAAACAAACACTCTGTGTTTCATCACACAGCAACTCAACAGGTAAATCTCATTTTGATTGCTCTGCTTTCCTAATTTCATACTCACTAGAAGAATTCACAACAACTGAAAATCAGCTTAGCCAGTCTTGTTTTCTGAATAGCAGAGATGTGCTACACCTTCGTGTTCTCATCGGTCTTTATTTAATTTGCTTATCTTCAGCACCACTTGGTAAGAAGCAGTGACATCTAGTGGGGAGTTAGGGTAATTCCCAGTAAATACAGTGCAAACAAAATGCAATAAAAACTTAAAAACAACTAATCCAGCAGCACTTCAGAGACTAACAAAACATGGATTATGAACTTCCATGGGTACAGTCCACGTCTTCAGATGACAGGTCATTAAAACTCTGCAGTGCGACCCTTTTCCTGGAGCCAGGGCTGACTTATCCATTAGGCACAGTAGGCGCAGTGCCTAGGGCCCACGATATTTTTAGGGGCCCACAAAAATGTTTTAATTTCTTTTAAAATCAGAAGAAAAAAAATGAACTTTTAGGGTCAAAGAAAATGTTTTAATTTTTTTCTCACTTCAGAAAAAAATGAAACTTTTAGGGCCCACGAAAATCTATTAAATTTTGCCTAAAACAGAAAAAAATAAAATGTTGAAGTACTTAAAGTTATATCAAAAATAATTTTTAATATTTTTTTTTATGGAGGAAGGGGCCCACAAAGGCAAAAGTGCCTAGGGTCCATAAAAGTCGTAATGCAGCCCGGGGAGAAGGGAGGGAGAAGAAGGGGGAGGAAACGAGAGAGAATGAGTAGATAGTTTAAATAGTTACAAGAGGCTGATAAGAACAATTAACACCTCCATTAATTGGTTGGTTGGTTGGTTGAATCATTAGGATGTGTTTTTCCTGTTACAGACTAATTCCACTACCCCTCTGAAACTTCTAAAAATGTAATAAATATTTCTCACCACTCCTTGGATCTTAAAGTACTTGACACATTATGCAGTAGATACAAGAATCTCTTCATCCACTGTGAAAATGCAACTGCCTTTGGGGTGAAACTTAGTATTTGTTTAGCAGCAGACAGCAACACACTGTTCAACAGCTAAGAAGAAAGAGAGAGATGCCCTGATTAGGATACCGAATCTGAAGGCTCCATCCATGATGGTACTTAGAACCTTCAAACCCATGACTAACACCCTCTTTCTCATTCCACCTCTAGCAGGCTCCGAGTGCAAACTCTGCCCCATGGACTGGTTGTTGCATAGAGAAAAGTGCTACTGGGTCTCGAAGGAAATTAAATGCTGGAAGAAGAGCTTTGAGGACTGTACAGAGAAAAAGTCTCACATGCTAGTGATCCACAACCAGGAAGAGATGGTAAAGAAAATACGATGCTGAACCTGTAGCTGGAGAGATGTGTCTATAGTATAATACAAGGACTTGCATCAGCAATAAGTAAACAAATGAGTCTGCACATACTGGAAGGAGGCTCCGTTATGTGAAATTTGGATTAATAAAAGCTAAAACAAAACAATCTTTATATCTGGGAGCAGAAAGGGGGAAATGAGAAACAACGCAGCTCCCCAATCTTAATGGGTATTTGCCTAAGAATTTCTTATTTTTGTAAGTAGAAAATAACTGGTTCATATTCATAGCTCAATGGCAAATGGATTTTTCTTCTAACCCCTTTAGTATGTGAACTCCTTAGTTCTACACAGAGATTACATTTTTCCAAGGGCAAAAGCTGCATCAGCCGTGTGGCCCAAGTCCCCAGAGCAGATCTGCAGATTTTCCTTTGAGGTACTGGGGGGCAGTGCCCCTGAAGCTAACAGCAGGGTGTATCCGTGTGGGAGCACACAGGGAACTCTAGCATGTATTTGTGATTTTACCCAGTCCTCTCTGCTTTATGCTTCACAGGATTTCATACAGACTATTACAAAAGGTACAAATCATGTTTGGATTGGACTTAACGTGACATCCCCTGTAAGGACCTGGATATGGGTGGATGGTAGCCCATTACATCAAACGCTGTGAGTGCTGTTTGGCGTTGAATGTGTTTATTTTATAACAGGAGCAGAAAATCTGAGTTCATTGCTTTCAAACTGGAGTGCTTAAAATTAGTCATCTCAATCCACACTCTGATTTAAAATGTACAGAAGGTGACACATCATCCGGTATTAGCCTATTAGAAATTGAAAGCCATCATTTATGTCAGTCAAAAATGAATTCTCCCTTAAGGGTTTGGCTTTCACATATAACTTGACTTTCTGTGAATGTTGGGTTTCTCTATAGCTCAGTATTAACCTGGTAACCGGATTGTTCCAAGTATGCAGTACTTTGCTGCATAACTCTGGTGAAGGTAACTCCTTATAGCACCAGACCACCCTGTCACATTTCTCATAACAGTTTCCTCTTCTATGTTTGCATGCTCCCTGCACACCAATGAATACAATAGCTGCATTAGAACTTGATGAACAAATGTAGACAACTGATAACACATTTTCTTCATTCCACAGGTTCTC